TGCAGCCCCACCCCTCCTCCTCCATCCTCCTCTCAGGATTTTGAGCATGCACGCACACACGCCCAGCGTAAGTTTTAAGCTGCTGGGTCCGAGACTCTGGGTCCAGTACATGGGAGTCCAGCGATGTAACCATAACGCCATCTGCTGGTCCCAATCAGACCGTTTAAAGCTAGCTATGATAAGATGTGAAGAAATCATTCTGTTTTTATGCAAACTCTCACAAAGAATAGAAAGAAAGGAAAATGTTCTCCTGTTTATTTTATACTAGTACCAAAACTTGAGAGGACAGCACAAAAATCAAATCAGTTGAGTATGATTATTCAGACAAAATAAGAACAAACTGAATTGAGCAATATATAAAAGGTACTGTGTCTCACCATGGCTAGCCATACTAAGCTCTGGCCTCATCTTCCACTCTCTTATTTTTTTCCCCATTTAGCACCCTCTCCTTTTTTTAAAAAAAAATTTTTAATTGAAAGCACTTATTTTAATATGTACTTATTTATCTGTTCACTTCCTTTGGCTTCTCTCTCCCTACAATTTTTTCAGGATTTTTTTTAAAGAATTATTTTAGTTATACTTTTATTTATTTATTTAAATTTGACAAGAAAGAGAGAAAGTGAGAAAACAAGCCACCAGGTCTGGGACTCGAGTCGCGGTCAACCATGTGGAAGTCTAGTGCTCTCAATGACCAATGCCACCAGCCAGCCCCCAGGATAATATTTTTTTTAAGGTTTTTGCCATAGACTGTGTGCCCTCGCCGAGAGGGACAGAGGCAGACAGTGAAAGATGGACGAACTCACCCCCAAGGGCAGATGGCCACACCACAATCTCTTCTCCTCCAGTGTCCTCCTGGGATTTGGGGCACACGTGCAGAGGTGCCTGGCGTGATTTTCAATCTGCCAGGTCTGGTACTCAAACTGTGGCCTGCCATGAGGGAATCCAGCACCTTAACCACCATGCCATCTGCTGGCCCCAGGGTGATATTTTAATGAAGGGAATCACCTAAATATTATGTCATTTACATATCGATGCTTTTGGTTAAGTGCTCTCCTGTTTTTCTTTTGGAAATTAAGAAGAAACATGGCGACTATCTTTCTCTCACATTGAAAAGGACATTTTGAAAAAGCATGGCCAATGTAAAACATGCTGTGAGACTGACGGAGCGAAATGTTGCAGGTAAGGTCCTTATTTTGTTCCGTTCTTTGTTGACTCCCTAGCTCACACCTGCAGATGATCATTGCTAGGTAGGACTGGGTTGACCTGGGTGATTATCCACAGCGTGAGCACGAAAGCAGAGAACATAGATGCAAGGGACCAAGGAAAGGGTGGTGTTAGAAGGCTAGGCCAGGGAGCAGCAGCCCCAAATCCTGGGTCAGATAGGTGTGTACGTAGAACAGAGTGAGAGGGCGTAGACCCTAACTGTGACAATTTGGTGTGCCATAGTATTTTGGTTGTTAAAATTAGTGAATACCCCATAATCCAAGAGGCCAACAGATCTTTTATTGAATGTTGTTGCTTGCTTTGGGATAATTTGGCTGCCTTGAAGGCTAAAACCTGACAGGCCAAACTTGAAACAACAAACACAAAGTGGATAATTATTTCTGGTAGCACACACACCATAAAACTGAGATTGGAAAGGAATTGTTCATTGGTTTCCAAAGTTGACCAGTATAAAAATCATCTAATTAAAAGGTCAAAACCAAAGACCAGCAGATAGCATAGTGGTTATGTTGCTGGACTCCCACATGGCTGACTGTGGTTCAAGTCCCTGACCTGGGGCTTCAAACTCATGCCAGGCACGTGTGCATGGATGCCCAAGGTCCCAGGAGAATGGAGGAGAAGGGCCATCCCCCTGCAGGGTGACTTCTTACTTTTCCTCTCACTGTCTCTCTCTCTCTTTGGTGATGAGACCTTCATACCTGCCCTAAGGCAAAAACCTCTTAAAAAAAAAAAAAAAAGAAAGAAAGAAAGAAAGAAAGAAAGAAAGAAAGAAAGAAAGAAAGAAAGAAAGAAAGAGAAAGAAAGAAAAGGATGCTCAATATTTAGGTGCAGAAGTTCTTTCAGGCTTAAATGTGGGCTTTGAAGCAAGCATTAAAGCTAAAAAATTTTATGAAATATTACATTTGGGGCCAACTCCATGGCCTAATGGTTCAGAAAGTTAAATTGCACGTGGCTTACTGTAGTTTGAGACCTGGCCCCAGTGGCTTGAAACCCACACCAGGCGTGTGTGTGTGCATGCATGCCTGCCCAAAATGGAAAAATGGAGAATGGATTGTGGCATGGACACACCCCACTGGGGGTACTTTCTCTCTCATTTTCTGTCTCTGTCTTTATGTCGAGCACATGTACCCAATGGCAAAGTAAAAAAAAAAAAAAAAAAAAAAAAACCAAAACAACAACAAGAAGAGAACAGCAGATGGAGTAATGGTTATGTCAGTGGACTCCCACATAGTTGACTGCGGTTTGAGTCTTGGACCTGGTGGCTTGAAACTCATACGGGGCTCATGTGCATGCCTACCCAAAATCTCGAGAGGAGACTGGAGAAGGGATTGTGGTGTTGCCTTCCCCCCTGAGGCGATGATTTCTTGCTTTCTGTCTCTCCGTCTCTGTGTCTCTAGCAAATGCACAAGCCCTATAGCAAAAAAAAAAAAAAAAAAAGGGAAAAAAAACCTTCTTTAAAGCAAAGCAAAAACAAAACAAAAACGAAGAAATGGATCTTGCCAACAACAGAATAACTGGATAATGTAAATGTTTGCAGTCTGATAACATAATATAATATTTATTTATTTATTCATTCATTCATTCATTTACCTATTTGCTGTGGGCGTTTGCATTTGTCAAAGAAAGGGAAAGTGAGAAATGTCACTCAAGGGGATGCCACGGTGCAATCCCTTCTTCTCCAAGTCTCCTGTCAGGCTTTTGAGTATGTGCACACACATGCCCACTGTGGTTTTCAAGCTGCTGTGTCCAAGCACCTAAACTGCAGAGTCAGCCATGTGGGATCCTGCACCAAAATTCTGTGCCACGTGCTGGACTGTAAAGTAATAATTTTGTTTCCTAGAATTATATATTTGATTGTATTTATCATTATTACTTTTTTAAAAGAATTATTTTATTTTACTTTCTTTTTCTTTCTTTCTTCTTCTTCCTTTCTTTTAATTTGATTAGAGAGGGACAGAGTGAAAGAGAGAGAAGGAGATACGGAGAGAGAAAAAAAGCTTCCAGGTCTGGGACTCAAATTGTGGACAGCCATGTGGGAGTCCAGCACCCTTAACCACCACACCACCTGCTGGTCCCCATTATTACTACTTTTTAACTTGTTATAAGATACCTGTGCTCACCAGAGAGAGACAGAGAGGGAACATGGGAAAATAAGCCATCAGATCCGGGACTCAGACCTCATTCCGCCATGTGGAAGTCCATTGCCCTACCCACCACGCCACCTGCTGGCCTCAGTTATATAATTTTTTTAAATGATAAAAAGACTTCCTAAGTACAAAATAACTGAATGAATAATATAAATTTCTGTCTGTTTTTTATAATTTAATTCTGACAGAATAAAATGTTTAAGCTAGGCATGGGGAAGAGAGAGAAAAAGCATTTTTTATTTTGGAGAGGTTTGCTATAGGGCACATGTGCTCATCCGAGAGAGTCAGTGAGAGGGAAATTGAAAAATCACCCCCGAGATGGCTACACCAGAATCCCTTCTCCTTTCTCCTCCTGGGATTTTGGGCATGCATGAACACACCGACCATGATTTTCAAACCACCAGGGTCCATGACTCTAACCACGGTCAGCCATGTGAGGTTCCAATGCCTTAGCCACCATGCCACCTGCTGCCTCCCAGAAAAAATGTGTTTTAAGAACTTCAAAGTGGGGCCAACAGATGGCGCAGCTATGTTGATGGACTCTCACGTGGCTGACTGCAGTTTGAGTCCTGGACCTGATGGCTTCACAATCACTCTGGGTGTGTGTGCGTGTGTGCCCAAGATCACAGGAGGAGAATGGAGGAGAAGGGATTGTGGTGTGGTCATCCCCCCTGGGGGGTGATTTCTCGCTTTCCCTCTCATTGTCTCTCTCTCTGGTGAGCATATGCTCCCTAAGGCAAAAACCTCTACCCCCCCCAAAAAAAAGGGAAAACTTCAAAGCATGTATCTGAAAACATGATGAATATATATTTAAATTATAGAAGGGTACTTCAAAAAGAATGTGGAAAATGGAATTAAAAACCAGTTTAGAGGGGACCAGCAGTTAGCTTAATGGCTATGTCGCTGGACTCCCACGTAGTCGACCGCAGTTTGCATCCCAGACCCGGTGACTTAAAACTCACACCGGGCGCGTGTGCGTGTGTGCCCAAGATCCCGAGAGGAGAATAGAGGAGAAGGGATTGCGGCGTGACCATCCCCCCTGGGGGGTGATTTCTCGCTTTCTGTCTCTCTGTCTGTCTCTGTCTGTCTGGCGAGCGCACGCGCCCTATAGCGAAAATTTCTCTCTCAAAAAAAAAAGTGAAATCTAGTCATATTTTTTTTCATAATAGTCATTCTCCATGAACTTTTTGAAGGTTTCTTGTATTGCTATTGTTTAATTATATTTTTCTTGTTAGAGGTCTAAAACTGTAGAATAAGGTTGGTGGTAAATTTAAAATAAATGGTTGTCTTTTTTATTCAACAGGAAAGATTGTTTAAAACTAATGAAATACCTTTTAGAACAGCTGAAGAAGAAGAACCAAAAGGAACTGGATAAATTTCATTCTTACCATGTGAAAACTGCCTTTTTTCACACATGTACCGAGAACCCACATGATGAAGACTGGCTTCCCAAAAATCTGAACCTCTGCTTTGACAACTGTGTGACGTATTTTCTGAAGTGCCTAACCAAGGAACAACTTGAGCATTATTTTATTCCTGGAGTTAATCTATTCTCACGAGACAAAATTAACAAAATAAATAAAGAATTTCTGTTAAAGCAAATTGAATATCAAAGAAACAATGGATTTCCAGTTTTTGATGAAGATGATGTTTTAAAAAAGAAGAATTAGAGTGACTTAATAATTGTAATGTTTTAAATTTGTTACAGCAATGACTGACTAAAATGAATGTAATATTCAGTTCTTGATGTGTTATAATAAGTTCTAATCAGTATTTTAGGAGAGTTTAGTCCAGAAATAAGAAGCAAAGTGAGTATAAAATTTAAAGACCTGGGGCTGGCTGGTGGCATGGTGGTTTAAGGGCACTGGACTCCCACATGGCTGACTGTGGTTTGAGTCCCGGATCTGGCAGTTTGCTTTTTCACTCTCCCCTCCTTCTCTCTCTCACTCTGTCCCTCTCTGGTCAAATTAAAATAAATAAATAAAATTAAGTAAAATAATTATTTTAAAAAGATCTAAAGATTTGACCAGATTGGGCTGAAAAAAAAATCACCTTAAATTCATCAGGTCCTGTTGAACATCAATTTTTACCTAGCACAGGTGTGTGGAAGGCGCTGAGAGACAATGTTAGAAATGATCATTGCTCTTGTAAAACTGGTAGGCTTTGTCCAATGTACAAATATATTCGAAAGTTACCCCTACTGATGGGATAGGAATGAAATTTTAAAAAATGAGTTCTATATGTTCTCTGCATGTCTCAGGAAAAACTTAATTTTATAGGAAAATATAGGGGACATTTACAGGAAACTATATAGAGGAAAATATGGAGTAATATAATAAACATAAAACTTTATTTTTATCTTCAGTAACATATTTACATGTGTTTCTGAAAAAGTAATCGTACCCAGCACATGAAACGCAGTGAGGCAAGATTGAGATAAGATGTTACTGTCTGCAGTGTTCACGTGGCAGTCAACCTAGGAGACCACTGCTCAGCTTTTTCTTCTTCAGATATTTTGCACATTTTCTTTTCGGTTAGTTTATCTTTTTCTTGTCGGTTTGTAGTTCTTTACATATTTTAGATACTTATGCATATTTTAGATATTTATGTAACAATTTATACCATAAAGGTTGTTTTCACTTCTTTTGGTGTCATTTAATAAACAAGATTTTAAAATTTTAATGAATTTATCAGTCTTCTTTATGGTTTGTGCTTTATATAACTTGTTTAAGTACTTAACTGCGTTTGAACACATTAAGGAAAAAGTTAGAGGACTGGGGATGACTAATGATAAATAAGAAATTAGGCAAACAAATCTAAACTACTTTTAATATTAAGAAATGTGGGGAACCAGCAGTTAGCGTAATGGCTATGTCACTGGACTTCCACATAGTCGACCGCGGTTTGCGTCCTGGACCCAGTGGCTTAGAACTCACGCCGGGCGCGTGTGCGTCCATGCCCAAGATCCCGAGAGGAGAATGGAGGAGAAGGGATTGTGGCGTGACCATCCCCCCTGGGGGGTGATTTCTTGCTTTCTGTCTCTCTGTCTCTCTCTGTCTGTCTGGCGAGCGCATGAGCCCTATAGCGAAAACCTCTCAAAAAAAAAATTAAGAAATGTGTATAAGGATTTCCAGCACCGAAGATCCTCTGCCCAGACCTCACCCTCCTGCCCCCCAAGTCTAGCCAGGTGCCAGATAAGCCAATCAGCAGCCATTTATATATGAGTTCTGAGTAGCCACAGCACAATTTTCATTTTTTGATAAAAAATGTTTTTCTTCTCTTTTTCTTATTGCCTTTTCCTCTCTTTATTTTTTTTTTCTATCCTTTTTCCTTTTCTTTTTACCTTTCTCACTTTTCTGCTCAGTCTTCACACACTGATTTTCTTTTTTTGGGGAGAGGTTTTTTTCCTATAGGATGCATGCACTCACCAGAAAGAGAGAGACAGAGAGACAGAAAGCAACAAATCACCCCCAAGCGGGGATGGCCATGCCACAATCCCTTCTCCTCCATTCTCATCTCAGGATCCTGGGCACTTACACACATGTGCTCGGCATGAGTTCAAGCCACTGGATCCGGGACTTGAACCATGGTCGACTACATGGGAGTCCAGAGACATAGTCATTGTGCCAACTACTGGTCCCCTTTTAAACTTTTATTTATTCATTCATTTATTTTAATCTGACCAGAGAGAGGAGAGAGAGAAAGAGAGGGAAAGTGAGAAAGCAAGCCAACAGGTCCAGGACTTGAACCATGGTTAGCCATGTGAGAGGGGCCAGCACTGTAATCACCATGCCACCTGCTAGCCCTGAGGTGTTTTTTCAAATGATGAATGGATGTAGAATTTTTCTAGCTGCATTTTCTGTATCTATTGAAATGCTCATATGATGTTTCTGTTAATGTTATATTGATTGAGTTTCTAATTATAGACTGTGCATCGCCATATAAAACCAGCTATGTAATAGAGTGATTAGAGCTTTTCCTTTTTCTTTTCTTTTTTTTAGAGATTTTTGCTATAGGGCACGTGTGCTCGCTGGAGAGACAGAGAGACACAGAGAGACAGAAAGTGAGAAATGATCTCCCTGGGGGATGGCCAAGGTGCAGTCCCTTCTCCTCCATTCTCCTCTCAGGATTTTGGGAATGCACGCACACACGCCCAGCATAAGTTTTAAGCTGTTGGGTCTAAGACTCTGGGTCCAGTACATGGGAGTCCAGCGATGTAACCATTATGCCATCCCCTGGTCCCAATCAGAGCTTTTTTGTTGTTGTTGGGAGAGGTTTTTGCTATAGGGCGTGTGCGCTCACCAGAAAAACAGAGAGACAGAAAGTGAGAAATCACCCCCCACCACCACCACCAAGTATGGCCACGCCACAATCCCTTCTCCTCCATTCTCCTCTTGGGACCTTGGGCACACATGCACATGCGCCCAGTGTGAGTTTAAGCCTCTGGGTCCAGGACTTAAACCATAGTTGACTACATGGAAGAGTCCAGTGAATAGCCATTATGCCAACTGCTGGTGCCCCACACGCTGATTTTCTAGACAGGTCTAGGTGCTCAGTAGCCAAATATCTGAATGCTTTTAGGGTTCAATTAATACTTCAACTTTCTCAATTGAATCAGGTGTGCAAAGGGAGAAAAATGGTACTGTTTACAGGCTGCAGGTCACCTCCTTTTGTATTCTTCTAAATGCTCAGATTTAACTCCAAAAACTATCTCTTCTCTACTGGGAATGAAAAACTCTTCTTCCTTCACAAAGAATGCAAGGGAATCATGGAAATGTCAGATAAAGAATTTAAAATATTCATAATAACACACCTAACAGAGATGCAAGAGAATAGAGACAAGAAACTACAGAAGATGCAGGAGCAAAGAGATGCTGAGTTCCAGGAGGTGAGGAAGTTCTTGCACAGTCTGAAAGAGGAGAAACACATCATAAAAAAGAAACATATCATAAAAAGAATCAAATGGAATTATTTGAGATGAAGGCTGTAATACAGGAAATCAAAACTCCTGTTGAAAATACCTTAAGCAGATTAGATCATGCAGAAGATATATCGAACCTCAGATATAGAAGATAGAACCTCTGACCTAGAGAAATTCATCAAAGAGACTGAGAAAATTTAAAAAAAAAAAAAAAAGAGAGAATAACATACGAGTAATACTAGAGACCATTAAATGCCCAAACATCCAGATAATCGGTATCCCAGAAGGTGAAGAAACTAATAAGGAGATTGATAATCTATTCCATAAAATCCTGGAAGAAAACTTTCCAAACCTAGAGAGGCATTCAAATACCCAGCTCCAGGAAATACAAAGGACTCCATATAGAATCAACCCAAGAAGATCTTCCCCCAGGCACATCAGAGCCTGATTGATGAAAACCAGAGACAAGATACTAAAACTGGCAAGAGAGAAACATCAAGTTACTTTCAAAGGATATCCCAACAGTCTAACATCAGACCTCTCATCAGAAGCAATGCAAGTAAGGAAAGAATGGAAAAATATATTCAAAGTGTTAAGTGAAAAACAATTTCAATCAAGAATACTGTACCCAACAAGATTATCTTTCATATGGGAAAAAAAGACAAAAACATTCTCAGATAAACAAAACCTGAATGAATTTACCAAAACCAGACCAGCTCTCCAAGAAGTGCTGGAGGGAGGCTATACCAGGAAAACTAAAGTCGGACACACAGAAATAAGAGTACAAGAAACAACCAGGATAATGGCCAGCCTAAAGGAAGGGACAAGTCCGGAGTTGAAGGTTAACTTCCAGAGTTTAAATGGAAAGATCAGATCATAGTAACACTGCAAATGCAACAGAAGAGAGAGATTAATTACGTGAGTCTGAATTAGTGAAATAGAATTTTTTGACTTTACAATAAAACGTTACTAATTTTCTTCGATGCTTTGATTTTCATATTTAAGGATTTTATCTTCTCGTGAACTGTTGATTTATTCCTCTACCTACTATTTGAACTGAATCCTAACATATTTCTGGCTTTAAGCTTTAAGCAAATTTCTCTTAACATTTTAAAATTTTGATCTATTAAAGCAAAAACTTTTTCTGAAATAAAAAATGCATTAAAATACCTATTAATACATATTTAATGACTGCAGTAAGCTCTCTAGCCCCAGCGAGGTGTTACTTCATGGTATATTCACTTTACTTACTGAGGTTTATGCCTGGTCAGATATGGGTTAATAAATATGTATATATCAGCTGTGCTTGCTATTGAAAGTGTTTAAATTAATCAAGATCTTTAGTGAGTCAATAAAATGTAGGGGGAAAGGGCATAGAAAACAACTGTACATACCAGAGACTGTGGGAGAAGGGGGAGAATTGACAGAGGGTGAGAGATGGGGAATCAAGGGGGAATAAAAAAGCAAAATACATAAGAAACAAGAAATAGAAAATTATTTGTTGATAACATGTATGGAAATCTCATTTTGTATACTGTATTGATGTATAGTGAATGATTAAGTAAAGAGAAATTAATTTTCAAATTGTGTATATAAAGAGAAATTACGGTCTGAGTTGAGAATACTGCTCAGCTGCACTTAGAGTCTTGGCACAACAGGACGACAGGCCGCCTATGTGGAGACAGTGGTGCTAAATGGGGCAGTCACCGGACAACAGGACGACAGGCCGCCTATGTGGAGACAGTGGTGCTAAATGGGGCAGTCACCGGACAACAGGACGACAGGCCGCCTATGTGGAGACAGTGGTGCTAAATGGGGCAGTCACCGGACAACAGGACGACAGGCCGCCTATGTGGAGACAGTGGTGCTAAATGGGGCAGTCACCGGACAACAGGACGACAGGCCGCCTATGTGGAGACAGTGGTGCTAAATGGGGCAGTCACCGGACAACAGGACGACAGGCCGCCTATGTGGAGACAGTGGTGCTAAATGGGGCAGGGGTCAGATGAGATGACTTCAGAAAGTTCATGGGAAGGTGTAATTGAAGTCTGAGTTTATTAATTTTATTGATTTTGCTATAGGCTATGTTTGCTTCCCAGAGAGAGGGAGAGAGGGAAAGTGAGAAATCATCCCCAGGGAGGATGGCCATGCTGAAATCCCTTCACTTCTCCTCTCTGGATTTTGAGTAGGCATGCATGTGCACCTGGCATGGTCTTTAAGCCATCATGTCTGGGACTTGAACGGCATAACTGTCTGTGTGGGATGCCTGCCCCGCCCCCCACAAGCACCATACCATTCTGAGCATGGCTTGCTCAGGGTTTTACAAGGCTGTAATCAAGGTGTCAGCTCAACTAGAAAAGGACCCACCCTAGCCCACTGTCAGAAAACTGAAGTTCATAACCATATGGATTGGGTTGTCAGAAAAGTAACGGTATATTTTTTCTGTTTTCTTTGCCTGACTTTTCTGACAACCCAATATTTGTTGATGTGTGTTTTTCACTTATTTTGATGTATATGTTCACTTAATGTAAATATTTTTTCACAAAAATGTGCTCATTATATATTTGGGGAGGTTTGGTAATTCTTTTTTTGGAGAGGTTTTTGCTATAGAGTGCATGTGCTCACCAGAAAGAGAGACAGAGAGACAGCAAGTGAGAAATTATCCTTCTGGGGGATGGCCACACTGCAACCACCTCTCCTCCATTCTACACTTGGGATCTTGGGCACGCACGCACACGTGCCTGGCATGAGTTTAAGCCATCGGGTCCAGGGCTCAAACCACGGTCGACTATATGGGAGTCTAGCAACATAACCATTACGCCAACTGCTGGCCCAGTAATTTTTAAAAAAGAATTAGTTATTTTATTATATTTATTATTATTATTTTTTTTACATGAGTTTTGCCAGAGAAAGAGAGAGAAAGAAAGAAAGCTGCCAGGTCCAGGACTTGAACCACAGTAGACCATATGGGAATTCTAATGCCTTAACCACAACGCCACCTGCTGGTCCTATGTTTGTAATTCTTATAAGTGTATTTTCTCATTACCATTCAACTTTTTCTGACAAGTGATACAAATGCCAAAATTTAAAAACCACAGAAAGGCAGTGAAAGGAAAATATCAATTCCACTCCATTCCTCTCTCACCCATTACCTTCCCAAAGGAAGACACCATAACCTTCTTCTTACACAGTCTTCTAGTGAGGTGCTTCTAGATATATATAGTCTAATAAAATAAGATTTTATCATTTAGCTTTATAAAATGAATTTAAAAGCCCAGAGTTTTAAGCCACCGGGTCCGGGACTAGAACTGTGGTTGACTACATAGGAGTACAGCAACATAGCCATTACACTAACCGTTGGTCCCAAAAGTCCAACTTTTTAAATGTTATAGCACATAGGAATTTATTCTCTTGTTTAAGGCTTTTGATTACTGTTCATGCTTCTTGTATGTTTTGTCTATTCAGCTTTACTGAGGAAATTGTAGTAACTTGGGAAATAAAAGTGATCAATTTTGCAAATTTTCAGATTAGTTGGCAAAGTTATACACTGTTCTTAACATTTTTTATGCCAGTGTATTCCTAACCCCCCACTAGACTTTACAGACATTTATGTATTTGATTGACAAGTCAGTTGATTACCACTGAATTCTAGTTACTAATTCGTTCATTTCTGCCTTGACCTTTATTTCTATCCTTCTGTTAAGTTCTGTTACTAATATTCTCACTAATACCAGGAAACTCACTGCATGGATGAATAATATGACATGATATAAAGCCATAATTAATTATAACAAAGAGAATGATAAATACGTAAATTCTAAAAGTGAGTAAATATGAGGAACTCTCATTTGTGGTGAACAGGTAACACAAAACTGTAAGGGCAAGCTGGTGATGAATGTCATCCAAGAAACTGTCATAGAAATGCCACTTGATTTCCTTAGGATTTATTTTACTATGGAGCTATAGGCCAAACTGTAAAGATAAACATCTGCTGTATACTTTGGCCCCATGTAATAATTTTTTCACCATTTCACTTCAAGTAGATGACAGGTAATCATGTAAGAAAAGTAAACTCAAATAAAATACTGTCTAACAAACACAAAATTAAAATGTGATACAGAAAGACAAAGATCAGCTTGTCTTTGTACAGAAATTAACATTTATTTTGTAAACAGAATCTTTTTCACTGCTGAAACAACATCTGAACAAGCATTAAACTCTTCAAAGACTGACCTTAGTACAACAACATAACAGTAAACAAAAAAAGTGCTTTAGGTAAAAAGATAATTTTAAGTAAAATAAAACCTTCTAGTGCTATTTCTTTAATAAATATCCATGAAGAAAATTTCAACTCGTTTAAATACTTTTGATTTTATTAAAGAAAGTATAAAATATTGAATTCTACATTTTAAAATACTATTATTTTAAGAATAAGTCAAATCTCTTCATACTGCCAGTATGTTCCAATACTTCCATATCTTGGTATATTTCTAAAAAAAGCTCGAATTCTGAAAAATAAGCAAAAACAAGTAAATTGCTGTTCCTCAAAATTCTTTAAAAAGTTTAATTTTTATAACTATGCATAAAATTTATCATCTTAATCATTTTTTTTAACGTTTTTGCTATAGGGTGTGTGCACTTGCTGGAGAAAGAGAGACGGTGATGTGGAAAGTGAGAAATTATTCCCCAGGTGGGATGGCCATGCCACAACCTCTTGGCCTCCATTCTTCTCTCAGGATTTTGGGCTCACACACTCGCGCATAATTTTCAAGTTGCCATCCAAGACTGGAACAACAGCTGGCCATGTGGGAGTTCAGTACTTTAATCCCTGCACCACCTGCTCACTCCCATCTTCATCATTTTCAAGTATACAGTTCACAGTGTTAATTAAGTAGATTCACACTGTTGCAACTAATCTGTAGGACTTTTTCATCTTCTACAAACCTGAAACTCTGTATCCATTCAACGATAACTCCCACTCTCCTAGTTCCCCAGTTCTCAGGAATCTACTCTCTGTTCCTATGAATTTGACTTTAGATACCTCATAAAGTGGATTAAAAAAGACAAGCAGTCTTTTTGCAAATGGCCTGTTTATTTAAGCATGTCCTCAAGGTTCATCCATACTGTAACATGTGACAGAAGTTTCTTTCTTTTTCTGGCTGACTGGTAGTTTACAGCGTACATAACCATGTTGTGTTTATCCAGTCATCTATTGACGGGCATTTGCATTGCACACACTTAGTGACAGGACTAGTGCTCTTATGGGGTTACAAAGGTTTTTGTGAAACCTTGCTTTCAATGTTTTAAATAAATTTATTTATCATTATAATTATATTTAATTTGCTGTAAGGCACATGTACTCACCAGAGAAAAGGAGAGAGAGAGAGGAGAGAGAGAGAGAGAGAGTAAGAAAGCAATCCATCAGGTTTGGAACTTGAACTATGGTCAGTCATGTGGGAGTCCAGCACCTTAACTACCATGCCACCTGCTGGCCTCTGCTTTAAAATTAAAAAAAGTAATTATAGGGACCAGCAGTTGGCGTAATGGCTATGTTGCTGAACTCCCATGTAGCTAACCGCAGTTTGAGTCCTGGACCCAGTGGCTTAAACTCATGCTGGGCACGTGTGCGTGTGTGCCCAAGATCCCGAGAGGAGAATGGAGGAGAAGGGATTGTGGCGTGGCCATCCCCCTGAGGGGGTGATTTCTCGCTTTCTGTCTCTCTGTCTCTCTCTGTCTTTCTGGCAAGCGCATAGCAAAAATATCTCCAGGAAAAAAAAATTATGTCCTGAAGTAGAATTGTTGAATCATATGGTAGTTCCGTTATGAATTTTTTGAGAAACTATACTGTTGCCATACCAGTTGCATCATTTTACCTTCCCACCAAGAGTTTATAGGGTCTTAATTTCTTTACAACTTTGTCAACACCTCATTTTCTGTATTTCTTTTTTTTAGAAAGATTTTTTCAAGGAGTTATTATATTTAACTTTATTTATTTATTTATTTAAATTTAACCAGAGAGACAGATAGAGAGAGAGCTGCTCATTAGAGATCCGGGACTCAAACCGTGGTTGGCCATGTGGTAATCCAGCACCCTTAACCACCATGCTACCTGCTGTCACCTGAATTTCTTTATAGGAACCATCCTAATGGGTGTGAGGCAGTATCTGTGTGATTTTTATTCCATTTCTCTAATGAGCAGTAGTGTTGAGCATCTTTTCCTATAGTATATATCATCTTTGGAAAAACCTCTATTAAAGTCTCTGATCATTTTTTAATCAGGGTTTTTGTTTTGTTTTGGTTTTGTTTATTTTTATTCTTCAGTTTGACCAGAGAGAGACAGAGAAAGAGAGAGAGAGGGAGAAAGTGAGCTGCCAGATCTCCCCTGGGGGGGAAGGCCACAACGCAATCCCTTCTCTTCCATTCTCCTCTTGGGATTTAGCATGCACACACATGCACCCAGCATGAGATTATTGTATTTTAAAAAATTAATTAATTACTTTTTAAAAAATTAATTTTATCTTTACTTTTTCATTAAAGATATTTTATACACATTATCATCAACATTTTTATAGAGATCATACATATATTTAATGGCTACATGAATTTGATTGTATGGATATACCATGATATTGACTAACAATATTGAGTAACAAATCAATATTAGTTAATATTTTCAACTATCAATAATATCCCTGAGTAATAGCCATTGATAGGTTTTTTTTTTTTATATTTTATTGATTCACAAAGGATCTTAACTAATCTAAAATACTTTTTTTTTTGGAGAGGTTTTTGCTATAGGGCACATGCGCTCACCAGAGAGACAGAGAGAGACAGAGAGACAGAAAGCGAGAAATCACCTCCCAGGGGGGATGGCCACACCGCAATCCCATCTCCTCCATTCTCCTCTTGGGATCCTGGGCATGCACGCATGAATGTGCGCCCGGCGTGAGTTTAAACCACCAGGTCCAGGACTTGAACCTCAGTCAACTACCTGAGAGCTCAGCGACATAGCCATTACACTAACTGCTGGTTCCCTAAATACTTTCAATAACAAGTATAGTGGATATAAACATATCTATGAACACATGTCTAACTTTAAGCATAAAACTCAGTGAATAGGATGAATGTACTATAAAGTAGCTGGTCCCCAACATCTGTTTTACACTTAAGACATCTTACGGATGGTTCACATGTTCTTGGTCAGTTTATAACATACCGACATATCGTATCTCACTCACCTAGTCCCTGCTAGACATATACACTAGCTCGCTTATACCATCAATCATCTTTTTGAACAACCTAAGGTTTATTTTCTCAACTCTCTGTTAGTTCTTCTCATTTTAGAGATATAACAAATAGATTTGGGTAAAAATAACACCTGATTTATTAAGTTAAAGATAAAAAATAGGGGCCGGCAAGTGGCATGGTGGTTAGAGGTGCTGGACTTCCACATAGTTGACTATGGTTCAAGTCTCGGACCTGGTGGCTTGCTTTCTCACTTTCTCTCTCTCTCTCTCTCTCTCTCTCTGTGTCTCTCTCTGATCAAGCTGGAAAATAATAATGACAATAATAATAAATAAAGTTAAATAAAATAATTCTTTAAAAAAAAAGATAAAAAATAATGCTGAGTGCATTAGCCATTCGCATCGACAAAGCCTAGTTTGAGGTAAGCATTTGAAAGTCCAAGTGCTAAGTTTTACCTCTGGTAGGCTGGTACCACTTTTCAGCAGAAGATATTAATAAAACTTCTTGGGCTTTCCTTGGGGTCTTCCCAATTTTTTCCCTGTTTCTTTCTTCAGTTTATTTGCCTTGTATCTCTCAGCCATTGATACAAGCTCCTCTGGGATACTCTGAAATGATCAAATATGCTATCAGGAGTCTGAGATTTTTTTTTCTTTTTTACTATATGCTAAAATGCTTCCACATCATTTCAGAGAGTCTGTACAACTGGTTATATAACATCTTTTAAGCAGAACAGAATGTGTCTCTCTGCCTATTAACTCCTAAATCTTCAGACTGTAAAACTAGACTGACCTGGAAAACACCCACAATTACACTACTCCCTACTGGGGTAGCCCTCCAGGGACTTCCCCATTCCCTCGATGTGCCTCCATCTGGTGCCATTTCCTACACATCCCGTCTGCCCTCTGGCCCTGAATATGTCCCGTGGCTGGACACTTGCCTCACCTTCCGTAACTCTCCCCTCCCTCAACCTAACTGGTTTCTTCCTCACTAGGGCTTCCATTGCCCAACCCCATTAGATTAGACCCCCTAATGCTATGCTCCCTGACTGCCCACGCTTTATCATGCTATAGCTCTCAGGGTGTATTTACAAACTTATTGATTATCTATCTTTCCTGGTAAACAAAAAGTCCCAATATCTGGGAGAAATCACTTGACATTGGAAAATGATAAGAGGTAGATTTCAAATGAGTTGCATGTGCTCACCTGATTTGCTCTTTCAAGAATATTAATCAGTTCAGTGGAAACCCTCCAATCATTTCTAGTGAGAAGGGTAATTGACATTCCGGTCCTCCTTTAATCGGAAGAAAAAAAATCACGTAAGTACATTTATAATATGTATTCATGACTCAGCTAATATAGATTAGGAACAGAAAAACCTCATTTTTTTTTCTTTCATAAGCCCAGATATATATTAAAGCTTATGGTAAGGCAAACCGCAATTTGGGACGTATGAAGTCCGCAATTGTTTAAATAGCACGATGGTGGTATATAGGTGGTGCTTTTAGAGACCATTTGTCGGTAATATTCAGGGTGACCAAAGGGTACGGTTTAGTGTTGTGACTCTATAGATAAAAAATAGTAGACACAGAAATAGCAGCATAAAGATTCTCATGGCAAGATCTGGTAGACTCTGGAACTGGCCATATGGACAGGGATAAAGTAGCCAAGCAGATTCTGAAGATTAACAGAAAATGTGCAGGTACATAGGAGGATAACATGGTTTTCTGGGCAAGAATCTGTGAGGGGGAGAAGAGACTCCAGGATTGGTCTTCTTCAGGGTGGACTACACTTACTTACCCTGCTCTTCCAGTACGCCCTACCCTGTGTATGTATTCTTCAATATTCCGTGGAAAATCATAGTTATAGACATGTGTAATGTCATGGACATCGAGCCCTCGGGATGCTAAGTCAGTAGCAATTAGTATTCTCACTTTACCTAAAGAGTAAAGTCAAATGAATATAGGATCATTCTGGCATAAACAACCCAAGATACATGAAAGATGTATTTGCCCCTTATATTTTAAAATTTTGCCAGAGGGTG